GGATATAAAAGTGGTACCTACCTACCCATCTACTTGGTACATTACACAAATTAAAAGTTATCATGATTACCTATTATACTTAATATACTTAGAATAAATATAAAAATGTATAACGTATAAATGATCGAGATAAAATATAAGTACTGCGAGTAACTAAAACAGCTGGTGATAAAAAAAAAAATTAATGTATCATTAGTTTTTTTTTTTATTAAAATTATTAGGTACCTATATACAATAAACATTGCATGAAAATATGTTTGTAAATAAAATAAAAACTAATATATGCGTATAAAAAGTTAATTATTTTTTAGATGTGTATTGAATAAAATACGAAACTATTATATATATATATATATATATATATAATTTATTTATGCTGATGTTAGTTTTTTTCCATATAATTTTAGTAAACACGATTCATATCAATATTTTATGATATTTGAGATCGGTATTTAATTTTCTCGAAATATCTAATAAAATATTTCAACAAGGAAATAATTAATAATAACTGACGAATACTAATAATATAATAAAGAACACAAATTTTGACTTAAAAAAAAAATATTGTTTTTAATACTGATACAGTACAGTGAATAACAATAATTATTATATCTACCGAAAATTCCCAAAAATTCAAACCTATTTCAATAAATTAACTTGTTCAATATAATAATATCGCAGTCCAGTATTTCTTAACCTTCATCGTTTCTTTCAACAGTAAAAAACGTTTTAATACTCCCCTTACGCTATGTGAAAATTCCGAAATCGAGGATATAGGGAAAAAGCTGCAGAGTTATAAAATAAAAATAAAAAAGGTTATCAATGAAAAATTCAAATATTGCATTTTAAACATATTGAATGAATATAACCATAAAAGAACTTACATTTCGTTACCCGAATGAAACGAACTAGACGCATTTTATGTGAAAACACCCTCATTACCCCTTTACAGTCCAAAACGATCAGTTCTCAGTACTTCTCCATAGTACCCCTCAGAAGGTGTTACAAGCTACTATGATAGCCCAAGGTCATAGCTGCGAGGGGTCATTCTCCCCTCAGATACAGTTTTGTGGCAGACGATAATAAAAAGCTATTCATGTAATATCATTATAATATAGTATTTAAACTCTCTAATTACTTTTCGACCATACCATATTGTTATTAAATCTACTTTGATCATTATAATAATATAGATACTTGCGGCCGTGTATTTTGACTTATGCGCAGTATAGAAAATCGTTGAAAAAAGTATTACAGTAATAAGATGGTAGACTTTTAAAAACTATAAGGGAGGGAGGTGCAATAGGTGTTCTATACAGGAGTATATTACGAAGAAAGGGGTCGTACTGCCGTTTAAGCGTCAAAGTGAAATTATTGTACATAAATATTGTCGCGAGGCTATATACTATTATATTAAATAGTTGTACGACGAACTGCGCAGAATAAAATAAGAGGATGGGAAAACGGAAACATACGGGAAACGAGCTGATGCGCGGAGTTACCGTACCTGTATACAATATAGATTTGATTGAATTATGTTATACGGGCTAGTTTTTAAAGTTTCGATAATGTAACAGCGAGGAAAACGAGAGAAAAAAAAAGGCTTAAGTTAAGGCGTGTTGGAAGAAACGCGGTGAAAGAGATGTATAGGCTAAACAAATAAGTGGGCGATGGAATAAGGACTACACGAACGGATTTATCGCGAGACGCTATGTATATAATATATACGTCAAAGTAAATATAGCGAGACGATGTAAAAAAACATCGTAGACGACAACGGTTATAATACACACGAAGACCTTTATCTCGTGTGGGATAATCCGGAGTGAACGAATATGAAGGAATTTGTACTATGTTGATTAATTTTGTATACATGATAATAATAATGTACGAGTGATAGCCCGAGAAACAAAAACATAAAATACTACTTGTATAGCCCGGTGTTTCCTGGGCGCAATTCTTTCAATAACATAAATTAAATAGAGGATTATTGAATTTTCAGATCAATTTTAGATGGAGATTTTAGATTTTAAGTGGAGCGCTTTTTCTGAAAGGAAATTTGACGACTAAGAAGGTACTTTAGGGAGGTCATTTTTCGATCCCCCAGAATTTTCCCAGAAAATGTAAAAAACATGGGAAAACCAGGAAAAATGTAGGAAAAACTGAAAAATCTGTACAATATTAAACAAATATTAATAAAGAAAATATATAATGTCTATTTAATTGTTTTAGCATAATATGATATATATATATATATTGTTGATAATGCATCACTATTAACTGAACCACGCTCAAAATCGTGTTTTCGTTAACAATGGTTTATTGTTGTTTATAGATACACATTGAATTCCTTTCTGTATCCTACTTTCCCAACTTCCCACCTATAACGGTGGTTGCACACGTCCCCATTATTCTAGGATTATTCTAGGATAGCTTTTTTTGTTTTTATTTCATTGTAAATGGAAAATATACAATATTATATATTAATATAATACAATAGTTAATATAATACATACTAGTTATATTATATATTATATTGTTAACCTGAAGTTTTTTTTCACTATAATAAATTATTAACAAATTTTTTTATAGCGGTTATATTTTTATAAATATTAATAATAATAAAAAAAACAATGTCTATAAATGTAGATGGAGTATGATAAAAAAAAAATATTTATCGTGTAATTTGTTTATCTTATAATAATAATAATAATGTTATTAAACTAAAGTATAATCGAAATAATATTGAATAACATATCGATCGGTAAATAATACAAACAGATGACATTTTTACAAACGCATACCTAATATCAATATTCCATCCAATATTTTATAGAAAAATGCGAACGTTTTTTTTTTTTTTTTTATGGTAAATATTTTATTTAAATTCTTCATTTCTTTGATGCTTTAATATTTTAAAGCGACGATAGTGGGGAAAGACACGTATAGTAAAATGCATTTAGGTATTCGACATTGTGGGATAGGAAATTGTCATTGATATTTCTTTAAACTTTTGTTTTAACAGTAAATTAACGTGCCCTAGCATAGGCTATTCTCTGTGCAAAATCTGATCTCTGACATGTAACGTTGTATAGCTGGAACAAATTATCGGTTGGGATTTCAATTCAAATCATCTACCTATTATTATTGTTACAAACATAATTAGCATTCCTTTTAAAAATAATTAAAAATATTTTTGAAAAGAAAAATCAAGGGGGTGGGGATACATACGGTATTGTATCTTGGTATAGCATTTTGACGTAACTTCGTGCAGGTTAACTGGCAATAGATATAATCGTTACCAACGCTTAAAGAAATATCACGAGAATTATTTATCCGAAGAACATAAATTACTTTACCCTATAATCTATGTATGAAATAAATAAGTTTTATATTAAAATATACTCCTAAAAAAAAAAAAAACAAACAAATATTTGTTGTTCAAATCTTTTATCATGATACCTGCTTTATAATATACATAAATAATTATTAAATATAGCATCAACAAATCTTCTGAGTGAAGCGAGGAATGTACTAATTTTAAAATGATGAGTTTATTTTCTGTCTGTATATAACTTTTTATCAGAAATTTTTCTCCAATTAGAAACTATACAGTAACTTTCTTGTATAATTTTTAAGTAAGTTAGTGTATTCATTTTCCAATAAATTGGAAAACTGATAATTTTTTTTGATTTCTGAGTTACTTTGACAATAAAGGAAAAATTACGAGTATTTATACTCTGTTCAGAATCGTTTTCCGTTAGTAATAGTTTATTGTTGCATACAAATATAAATTAAATTACACTATATTACATTCCCTCTAACAGCCTTTTTTTTTTCTAACTCGTTCGTTTTCAACATTATTAATATAGGGACATATTATTTTTTTACTCATAAAGGATTATAGAATTGGGTTTGAATTTATACTCATTAGTTGTTATGTTCCTGGCAAATAAATACTACTTACAAAATAAGTTTCAGACAAAACAGTTAACATTAGAGAATTAAATTAAATTATTAATAGTCTTTAATTTAAATTTATAATTGTAAAATGCAAAATAAAAAAACAAACTCTTTTAAAGTTATGTGTTTAAAATAATTAAACGGGTTTTGTTTGGTTTTGAATTATACTTAACGTATTAAGTTATTACTATTTATTGCGATGACTATACAGAGCTCGGATTTTGAAATAATCATTTTTTTTTGTTCATTTATTCACTTACTTAGACTTATACTTTAAAAGATAACTCTTATAATCTTATACACGAAATTGCGTTGCACCTTACTCCACGGCGATTAAAATCGAACAAACTTAATTATACTGTCCTTACTGTCCATTTTAAACACTTTTTCTATTATACTTAGTACTTTTTATTATTATTTTTTCCGCGGTTTTAATTGTTTATTAGGAATTTACGTAAATGAAACGAAAATGTATACCATCTCTACTAATACTTGAAAACAAAATTGGTGATTTAATGATTGAAAGTAAATTGCATAAGGACTTACCACAGCCGTATCCAGAAAAACTTTCTATAGGGGTTAAAAATGTTAGGTTTTCCAATATCACCACCAATAGTTTTGATATTTTTCAGAATTAGTTTGGACTTCTTACGATCATTATATAACTGAAAAAACGACTCACATGGCTCATTTCAACCACTTACTGAACATTATAATATTACGGGAATAAAAAAACACACCTTATAACTTTTCGACTGAAACACACGTTAAGTTTTTTTAAGTCATGCAAATCGTATTAGAGGTAGCTCGGAATTTTTAAGGGGTGCTGAATATGTTTTAGCTGAACTATGGGCGTAGGTAAGGAACATTTGAGGAATTCGAGCGCCACCCCCAAAACATTTTTTAGAAAGTATTTTCATCAAATACATTTCAATAATTAAAATAAAAATTGATAAAAAAAAACTTAATAATGAAATGAGAAAAAAAATATCGAAAATATCTTGAAAAAATTGCTGAAAAAAAAAAGTCGGATTTGTATACAAATATTCTTGCTGGTCTTTTACCGTCTTTATTTTCTCTAGAGGTACACTAATACGGCTGTACACGGCGATTACCTACAGATATAAAGCAAGAGTTGAACAAAAACTGAGGAACTTTGAGAACAAAGTGTTAAGAACGATATGCGGACCCGTAAATGATATAGTGATAAACTGCTGGCGAAGAAGAAAGAACGCGAAGATTAGACAAACGACAAAAATACCCGTTATAACAAGTTGTGTGAAGGAACAGAAACTAAAGTTGTTTGGCCACATAAAATGAAGGAAAGTAACAGACAAAGCTAGAGCAACCATTGAACGGCAACTAGAAAGGAATGTATGGATGGCATATGACAAGACCTAGAGAGATTGGAAGCAACTAACAGGGAGAAAATGATGTAGAAACGTGGCAGTTGGAGAGCACTAACTGCAATGGCTAAAACTCATACAGAGTTATAAAGCCATATAATGATGATGATGTTAATGATCCTTTATTTTGTTACTAAACTTTCATTGTATTATTACAGAATATATTTCAGCATCTTTTGTTTAAACCGGCGAATACGGCAAAGGTTGATGTCGATATTATGCGTTATTGTATACTAAAATTGTAAAGGTACCACCTATAAATTTGTATCAATTCTTCGGATTTCTTAAAACTATATACATATATTATATTGTATTGATAACTTTCTATCTGAACGATTAATGCAGGTAATTAATAAACGATTAGTTCGGTATTCGATTAATGCGTATAGCTCGACATCAACATTTTTCAAAGAAAATTTAAAACTAATCGATGCGCGATGCCCAACAAATACGGATAGATATTGTTTTTAACGATGAGAAGAGAAATTAAAATGTTATATATATACAAATAATAATAATAATAATAATCCAGAACAATAATAATGTGCCGTAATAAATTTACGCAAAACTCAGACGGTTAAAATATTATAATTGATGGCGATAGACACCATTAAAAAATATTATTATATACGGGGGACGTTTTTTTTATTTCTTTCCGTTTGAATGAACATTGCAGGGGTTTTTAAATAAAACTATTTTGTACATATGAAAAAGAATTCACTTCAGTAAAGTAACGAAATATTGCAGACGACAAATATGATATTATTTTGGTTACCCGGTGACGTACCCGGGAGATGACTACGGGGGCTTGAACTACCCCCTCCCACTCCTCTAATAGCCATACACCAATACATAATATAACTATTCGGCATCGGAAATTTATTATCAATAAAATAATAATCTTTATACTGTAAATCAAATAAGTACAAATAATTATAATTACTACACAATCATTATATATTTTTCAAAATAATGTCAAGAAAATGGATTTATATAATCGAACTAGGTAAAAAATGTAAATATATTTTTCGTTGTACTATTACGTATAGTTTTTATTTACAATGTTTAGTTCTCCCTCTCCCCCCCTTATATCCCGGATACGTCACTGTTAGTGTTTGTATAATATGCAATTATTTTCGATAAAAATTTATTTGGTTTATTATTACCTTTATGTTTCTTAAATAAACACCACCGGATCAGGGGACCCCAATTGCATTGCTTCTCGTGGCTAGTGCTCGCGCTAGGAGGGATGTGCACCCCTCCCCCCACCAGTGAGAAAAATTAGTTTCTATTTGATAATTATAAAATAAAATAGCTGATAAATTAGGTGGAAATTTTACATTTACAGGAAAATCAATAAAATCATTTTAGCCTAGTAGTAATCTCTTGTTGTATATACGTTATATATGTTAAAAAGGTCGATTAACAAAAAACAAAAGATAAGATAATGGAGATGGGTGCAGCCACTGGTGTAGGTAGGAAGTTGGAAAGGTAGGATGTAGACAGAAATTTAATGTATTAGTAATACGATAAACCATTGCTTACGAAAAAATGATTCTGAACGGAGTTCAGTTGATAGTGATGCTATGTCAACAATATGTATATTATTTTTTAGTAAAATAATTAAATAGGTTTTGTATATTTTCTTTATCAAAATTTGTTTAACGTTCCACCAATTTTTCCAATTTTTCTACGTTTTTCTTATATTTTACTTTTTTTTTTTTTTCGGTTTTTCGCATTTGATGAGAAAACTATTGAGAAAATCGTAAAATTACCGTCTCTAAGTACCTCCTCACGCCGATTTTCTTTCGAAAAAAGTGCTACACATAAAAATCCGAGCAAGTCTTCTGGTAGAAAAGTTGTGCACAGACAAAAAAAAAAAACAAACTTCTTTGCTAAACTCAAAAACTAATAAAGGCGATCATCTAAAAATTCGTTAAATTTTTACGTGTACACTGTACACCCTCCCATCAATAATTGCTTGGGCCGGCTCTACCTCTGGCTCGATATACACTCTAGGTGGAGCTGCCATCCACGGGGCGAGTTAGCCTAGTCAGTCAGCCTTGTGGCTTTCCCATCGATACCGGATCAGCTTAGTTATATAGGTACTAAAATTTGGAATTAACATTCGTTATTTTCGTATCGTACGTGTCGTTTTTAATGATAGTGCTACCGAAATTTTCGATAGTTAATCCGGACTTTTCGATAATTTTGATAATCAAAAAATTATTTGACATACGAGATTTATTCGGTTATATCTAAGTGTTATTCATGGATATAAGGCAGGCATGTTAAACATGTGGCTAATTATTTTATAGTCCACAGCTACCAATATAAATGAACGGAATAAAAAAATGTTAACATATTAATTTTGTGTAACAACATATTAGAGAATGGTATATTTTTCGTATACATTATTATAGCGTTTTATCTTCTGATAAATTTTAACCTAATAAGTATGATTGATGATTTTATACATACATAAATTATAGAATAATAGTTGATATCATCGGTAAGCGACACGCGTGCCTCTTCCATTGTTGACATCTAAGCTAGTCGTTCGATAACTACTGTGTAGTTATTTAATAATAAATTATTAAAAATATTTACAAATAATTAAATTGTATCTGTTACGTTCGTAAAATATAAAATTGAACAATTTGTATTTTGTGATTACATTTAAATGTTTTTTTTCGTTTAATGTTTATGTGCGGCCATCATAGTAAACTATTTAACATATTTGGCCCATTTGATACTTTGAGTTTGACATGCCTGATATAATAGAGATACGAAACGAGCGTTTTATAAGTGAGTCACGTACCTTCTCGGTTAATGGCAGGGCCAGGTTAATAAATAGTATTGCTATCTATTAACCTTGATGGTAAAGCCTACAGCGCATTCTTGTTTACTTCGGATGAACTACAAATATAGGCAATGGTTATTATAAAAATAAGGCATGTGTCTCGTGATTCACCGCGGGTAACACTAGGATTTTCAGCACGATAAATCTACGGACCAAGATAGTATGGACTGAACAAGTATGATCAAATTATTTGATAGTGAAAATCTATTCTGTAATGGAAAAATTGTTCGGTATTCAATACTATTCGTTCATGTATAAGCAATAGATAGTCCCTATAGTTGTATTCCAATACAAATAATAATAATAATATTACCTACCTATTGAGCCCGTCATATTACGTTTACGTGGTACTTCAGAAAAAAAATTATTCTCTAACCATACAAACACATAATATGCTCTCGAAGGGGGGAGGGTGAGTGTATATTATTGCAGGTGTATTGATGTACGCTTAGAGACGCTTAAAAAGGCTTCAAAATGTAGGTTGGTATACATTTTTAGTTTCTAATCACGGCGAGGAATGTGTTGGTGTATTGTTTTTATTAAAATGCGTTCTTTTCTTTCTATAAACAACTTCTCTATTAATCAGAATATTACTCAGATTTTAAAATGAACATTTTTTTTTTTTTTTTGAAAGCTTATTGTATCTAGTTGGTGTAACTATTACTATTTATTTATTATTATTTAACTGTTATTATAATTCGGTTAAAATAATTATAGAAACCAATGCATCATTATTTCTAAGTATAGCCAGTATATTTACTAATATTTTAAACGGAAATTCATAGATTCGATAATACAATATTATGGTATTTTGTTACTAACCTACTAACTACGTGTCTATAATTTACTATCGAAATGGAAACGTTTTAATTAATAATTTGCACGTAAATGGACTCACAAGACCGGCTAGCTTTAACATCATTAATTACGCAAAAGCTTATAGAGAATAAAGGTGTTTTCCAAAAGCGGGTTACCTACTTCCTTTTCCCGTGGTTTCGTTAAAGTACTCGAGTTATCCAATTTACTTAAATTATTTACCTGGCTGCATTGCATCATTTATTGTACACATAGATTATAAACATTTTAACGAAAAAAAAACCGGCAATAGTTTGTTTGCCAAAAAACCTCTTAAATAGGTTATGTATAGTTACGTATTATTATAGGACACAATTAATGCTGAAATTCAAATTACCAAAACTATAACTTTTGAAATTCGTAAAACCCTGCAGCAGAAGTTTTATTTTAAACATTCCTTTTGATTTATTTTATTTCGGGTATTGTGTATGTTTTATTCAAGAAACTGAATAGATACATATCATACATGTCATAATATTAAATAATTCGACTACCTTGATAAAGTTAAAGTAAATATTTGTTTATTTTCTATGAATATTGGTCGTAGATACTTTGATTAACATATTTGATATATTACTATATTTTATTTACGTTTTCAAGATCCCCGCAAATATCAAATATTTAGCGAAATAAAACTTTAAAAACATAATTTTTTTTTTTTTTAATTACCTACCTACTTAAGATATCAAATAAGTAATGTTTCAATTGGATACATTTATATCACTAACTATCATCATTACATAGTGTCCCAATTAAAACAAACAATTAATGATAACCTATACATTGGCCCACTTTTCATACTTTTTTATATATATTTCGGTACATATTGAATCAACCTTTTTCAAAATCAGTACTTCATAACTTTTTCTACTAAAATATGAATAAACAATTTTATATTATAAGCCATTTTTAATTTTTTTGTCATGAAATTTATTTAAAATTTGTCCCCAAAAATGTTGACCAATGTTTCCCGCATATGTGGTAATTTTGTAGCACACGTATAAAATCATTGTAAACTGTGTATTTAATAATTGTAAATAATGTTAATTGTAGCACACAATAATTATTATAGCAATTAAACAATCAATATTCGTTAGTAAAAGAAGTATTAACAAACACAATTTTATTAATAAATATGAGATCAATTTATCGTAAGGCACTTATTATTTCGGAAAGTATTAACTTTTTTCGGAATTTGTTTTATAGAATGCTTAAGAAACAAACAGTCTACACAGCAAACAAATATTTCCATATTAAGAACAAAATATTATTAGGAAAATCGTATAGTTGTCAATATAATTTCGATTATTGTTAAATAATGGTGTACATTTTATCGAAATATTTTTTACCCAAATAGTTTATGTTTAAGAAATAATTAAGAATAACATTTATTAAACATTTTAATCTCATATTTCTATAACGTTCAATTTGTATAATTTTCTTACGGAAACATTACACAAATATTTAGAAAACATTTTTATAAATCATAAAACGAAATATTTTGGTATCATAAGAATAAAATGTTTACACAATATTATTAGTAAAATATTTATTATTTAACCATTTCAAAATATTTATAAAATATTATCTTTTCCCAAAAGCTGTGTGAGCTTTACAAGTGTATATGAATAGTTTTTTTTCACCCTTTTTTTTGGATAAAACCACTGCTTATTGTTGACTTTCAAATGGTATTCCGTGGAAGAGTAGTGGATCATCATTTGTGTGGTGGCACTGTAGGCACGTAGCGTTTTTATAATGCACCACAATGCAATTCACTACTATCCACTGACCAAAACTTATAGGTTGAATATCTCATTGACGGAAATAAAAAATAAGCAACATGTCGTTACACGATATTTCGATACGTGTACTTCCCACAGAAAACATTCCTAAACCAGGTTATAATATTATTTGTTCCACTGCAGTAGACTATTTCCTTTTGGAAATTAATCGAAGTTTTGTAATTTGCAAATATACCGGGATACGTCCGATTTCCAGTCTAATGAATTAACAATAATTATATTATTATTATTATTATTATTATTATTATTATTATTTGTTATCTCGTCTCTGTTCGATTAAAATGCCGTATAGTTTTAAAACTATTACGACTTTTATATTTTGGAAAACCGCACCGTAGAGTACAATAATAATTAAAACTTAAAGCTTTGTTGCGCGGCGAGCGCTGTCTAAAGTTTCGTAAGTATACAATATTTTGTTTCTCTTTCTTATATATACATAAAACGATAGATATAAAATCAAAATTAAGTACACTTTGAGTATAATATAATAGTTAACAATATATTTTGGACAAAATATATGGAATATTATTTTTTAAACTTAACGATTCTGCAGATTTGTTGCTTATATAACAGACATATTATATTATATTTAGATATCTACTTTTAGGTTTTGAGTGAAGCGAGGAATGTATTGGTTTTACTATGATGTTTATTTTTTTTTTGTGAACAACTTTTATACCAGAAATTTCACTCCGGTTTTCACATGTAGAACTTCTTCTGAAAGGAAATTAAGGAGGTCATTTTTTGATTTTCCCGGGAGTTTTCATAATAATTGGGAAATTAACGTAGAAAAGGAGGAAAAATAAATGTAAATATTACGGCCTTTCAAAATAAGTATAACCGAATTCCGCTCTGAATCGTTTTTCTTCATAATAAAAATTAATCATTGCATACTGATTTACATTAAATTTCCTCTCTACCTTCCTAACTTTTCACTTAGAATAGTGGCTCGCTAATCCTGCGAAGTAAATCCGTTTGTTTTTTTATAATTTACTCTATGATTGTCTTATTTTTATTTATTTTCTGTTTTTTTTTAGCTTATTGCAATATTTTACAGACATTGAACTCAGAATTTTATAACGAAAAAAATTCTATAAAATTACCGTTTGAAAATTGTTTTATTACTTATTTGTTTAATAGACATTACATATGTTTACTGCACAAAAATTGCTTCTATTAAATAAATACGTAACTGTAACTGCATTTTACAAACGCTTAGAATGTCACTGTACTCAAAAATATATATTTATCAAGTCAAGAATAAAAAACAAAAAATTTGAAAGGTCTACCAATTTAGTTTATATCCATACGTGACGATCAGTCATTGTAAACGAAAACCTGTTCTGAGCGGAATTCATGGTTAAACTGCATGTTTGGTAAATTCAAATTAAAAATTGTATTAATTTATACAACTATAATTCAAATCACAATCGCGTTCGCGTTTTTAAGAAATTTTCACATTAATATGAACCTAAAAAGACAATAAAAATACGATGGTACGATTTTTATATTCACATAAAACAAAAAAAATCATAAAATAACATAGAAAATAGCCATTAATAACACGAAGAAAACGTCAGTATGATTTGAAAAAATCGCATCACCTTTAAAATGCGCAAGAATAAATCGGTATTCGGTAAAAGTTTCAGGTCTCTACGACGATTTTTAAATTGAAAAAAAAAAAAAAACTCGAAAATACCAAAAACCGTTACTCTAATAGTAAAATATTCCCGTTTTTCCGACGTCTCTCATAGCTATAGTAAACGACGCGCGCGTGTTTCGGATTCGAGAAATAATTTTTATCGCTCAACAAAATGCAATATAACGTTAAAAGAATATTATGCGCTATACGCTAAGTAAGTTATAGAAACTGGCGTGTTTCGAACGGAGGAAGTTTTATATTAATAATTTCTAGAGAACAGCTATTGTAAATTATATACGTACACACTGTTGTGCACGTATAGGTGAGCAGAAACCGCGCGACGACTTAATTAATTTCAAACGATAATGCACCTTGATAGATAAAATATTTTTCATCGCGCAATAACCTATATATATATATATATATATATATAATATTATACATATAAGAAGTTTAAAGTTTAATAAAAATGATAAACCGCATCAGCACAGTGCGCGAGAGAATGTATTATTATTATATTCGGCAGATTTACCCACAAATTTAAACAACGGGCTTAACTGTAATCCGTATACAATATCCTATGTATATACAGTCGGAATGGGTCAGAGTAAAGGGCGTTCTGCGAAAGATAAAAAATTTGCTATCGTTTTTATTATTATTATTATTATTATTATTGTACAAATTAATAAGTTATACGTATACATCGTGATTCGTACGATCCACGTCGATTATTTTTCATTTTTCAGGGTTTTTTTTTTTGTTTTACAAAAATAAATAAAGTATATTATACATTGATTTCGATTAGTAACACAGTCGTTTTCAATCATTTTAGTACCACGACCCAAATTTTTTCTCGAAAATCTATCGCGACCCGCATGGCTTCACTTTTCAAAAATTAGTTAATGAACACAGCTGGGAAAATCAAAAAAAGACCTTC